ATCATATCACAAAGCCAAGATAAATTTTCATTGTCTTCAAGGAGCGATTTACAAAATAGCGAGGGAAATAGTTCTGGTACCCTCTTTTCTCTACAAGAGACCAGAAAATAAGCCTTTCAAAATATTCAAACATACTCCTAAATCCAGAGGAGCTGAATAGTCAGAATCAGAATCAGAATCTGCTGAATCGGAACTGCAAGTACATTATATTTAGAATAGATAAAAGGGAAGAAACCATAACTTTTGTTTTAAAGACCTTGTGAAAAATTCTTTTAATAGGGCTTTTAGTATATTTTACCTTTCAGTGTAAAAGACCTAAACAAAAGAAAAGCACGTTAGCCTTTGTATCCCTCCTGTTATGTGAAACATTGTGTAAAAAATCATGTTGATGAAGTTTAAAGTTTAAGCTGAGACCGGAGCTATTGGCCCAAACAGTTCATATGGCTCTGGTGTTACTTTCAGTGGTGTTTCTTTTCAATTTTTATGATAGGACACCCAACTAAGAAACATGTTTTATTGTCTCAATTGAACCAGTAAGGGAAAAGAAAGCTATTACTTTTTTATTTAGGATCAGGAATAGGCCTCGGTCATTGTTAGTAACATGGTAAAGATTTAGCAGTACGAAGTCATTCTGCATAAGGACAAAACTGGAGCTTCTTTCATACTGAGCAGTAAGCACACTTTTAGCTTTACATAATACATTCAACTGTGTGGAAAGTTTCCCTGCAAATATCCATGTGCAAATGTGTTGTATGCACCGACAAACAGGAAATCACCACGTTACAGGATCATGGCCAGGATAGGGGATCCTGGCCAAATATATACATGGGTATAAACTCAGCCCTTTGAAATCCAGCTCCAGGAAGTATTTCCAAAGGCAAGAATAGTTTCTACCATATATCTCAGCAAGATCACCTCTGAAGTACTAATTACATCTGCAACCATTTCCAAACACTTACCTGCTAGGAACTGTGCACACACATACCCTCTCTCTTTTCCACCTCTGCATATACCTTTAAGTCAACTATGCCCTGTAAATTCATCTGCAGATGATACTGGCATTTGGACAGAAGGTTTGGGCCCCAGTATGGCAAATCACGTAGTTACATGTTCTACATTGACTTTTGTTAGACTATCTACATGCTTAAAATGCAATAATTCCGTTAAGTGCTTTTACTGGATAGGGAATACTGCATATATCATATCATTACCAACTCTTAAGGTATCCAGTTTCACTCAGGTGTCCAGTTTGCTCATGTAGTCAGTGTTTTAACTGGATGATGGGATTAAATAGTCATCACAATGTATGTAACAGGTGATATGATATTAAATCCCAAAGCTTTGACATTTAATTTTCTGGAATCAGTTTCAGCTCCCCAGTGCCCTGGAGTACAGTCAGGGCTGGTTTCCCGATAGTTTGGAAACTTTCATTGAAACTCTGATTGAATGACTGAATATTTTCCCCTTCAACCTATTATCATAAGTTTAAACGCAATAATGACTTGAAATGCTGGACTGGATGATAGTTGCAGCACAACCTTGACAATCCTGATCAGAAATGCTGCATTTCATGCAAAATAAATAATAAAAAATAATTATCTGAAGGTATGGGTGTACACCTTACCTACACACAGATACTACTCACCAGATTACAAGTAAGTATCTTGAAAGAACCTTTTTGAAATTATGGTTTTGTGTAGCTTATATGTGATGATGTAGTGGCAAAACAACACAGAAAATACATATCATCAGTAGGGAATATTCCAGTTTGATTTCAGCACTCTTTTGCCTCTACATAGCTTTCTACACTTTTTCCCTAGACACACAATAACATTCTTCTTTCAGATCCAGATTTTCTTCATCAGTACTATTTCAACTGAAAGATATATTAATTCACCTACTATTCAGCTTTTAGAGCTATTTAAAATCCAACAGGATTGCAATATCTTCCCTTTCCTCCCCATCTGTAGGCTGTTTTTATTTTCCAATGACCTGCTTATTCTGTTTGTGTTGGAAACAATATAAATAAGATCAGATGCTTCAAAACACTAAAGGAAAATATTTGTTTCTATCATATTCCTTTATAGACTTCTGTTAACATAGACAATTTAGTAACTGGTAAATAAAAAGTTTTAATATTTACACAAATTTCTCTGAAATACATCAATTTTATTTTCAGATACAGAAGATTAAAACAATATGGAGAAGGTGAAAAAAATTCAGAACTATAAACTACTTTATTAGCGTCCCACAGAAGAGGACATTCAATGCCCTGTAGTTCTTGATGTTGGGAAAATTTAATGAAGTTATGCTTCTGTGGTTCCATTGCATTGCTATGACCTTGGAAGCAGAGTGACTTTAAAATGGTGGTGTGACAGGCAAAAGAGATGAACACCAAGGCTGTTATAAAAGACTATTTATTATTGTTATAAGTGTTAAATATCATATCATTATTGATCTGCTCTCATTGAAAAGGCCAGGCAAGGGGAAAAAAAGAAAAGAAGAAAACAGTTGTAACTCAGAAGAAAAGGTGACACATGCAGGCACTGACTGGAACAGTGAACTAACAAACTTGCACTTAGCACAGCCATAGTTTGCTAATACTTGATAAGCCACCTTTTGTGTAAACTGCTAATTAAATAATTAATTTTAAATGACAAGGCCTGTAGGTAGAGATCAGGCTTCTAATAGACAAATTTGTACAGCTGGTAAAAGTAGATAAACTTTTCAGATCTGAACGAACCTTTTGTCCTGGTTAGAACGGCTGGGACCAATTCATCACTGGATGGGTGCAACCCAAAACTGTGTATTCTATAGCCGTCCATGCCATTTCCCCAGAAACTGTTGTCAGTGGAGGCCTGCGAGGTGGGGGGATGTTCCTGTCCTCATACCCTTTTATGGAATTCCCCGCTCTGATACCCTTTTATGGAATTCCCCGCTCTGATGCCCTTTTATGGAATTCCCCTCTCTGAGGGAGGGACTGAGCATTATCATGCCCTTTTATGGAATTCCCTACTCTGAGGGAGGGACTGAGCACTCCCGCCTGAACTGGAGAGTATATAACTGGGAGTTTGGGGAACCTTGCCACCTCTTGTGGGATCCAGAGGGAGACTGCAGACAACTGCCTTCAACTAGACTGCAGACCACCACCCTCAACTGGACTGCAATCACCACTTCTGACCAGACTGCAGCAGCTCTCCCACCAGTAGGTTTATCCCCTCTCCCTTTGCTTTGGACTCGGGGGTGGGCCAAGGTACACCACTTTTGTTCATACCCCAGGGTGCTAGGTTATACATTTGGGTTCCGTGGGTTAAAACCAATTGTCTGTCTGTATAATTGTACTTATTGCATTATTTTAATAAATTGTTATTCTGACTTATAAATCTCTCTTTTGAATTGAGTTCATTTTCCCTTGCTGGTTAACTTTTAAACCAGCACACCTTTATATACTGAAATCTTTTTGCAGCTATCCTTCAGAGTTTAATTAAGATATTTCTTTCACTCAGAAAGTTTATCTTGAGTATTCCCTTAGACTACTATGGGTACAATAACACCATCGCAAATGTTTTGTGATGCATTTGCTATGTAAAGCTTTGGCTTTAAACTATTAATAGTGATTTCAAACCCCTTAATCTCCTTTTCTGTATCTAATTTAACATGTCCTCTTTCAGTGTCAAACTCTATGAGACTTGCAGATTTCATATGATGGCAGGAGAAGACAGACCAATACCTCAGTTCTCAGCTTAGGAATGTGGAGTTCAGACTTACTCTTGTGAAAAACATTTTCTTCTTTCCTGTGTCATGAATCCTGCACAGGGTTGGCAGATCACAGAGTATAATCACTAACTGTGACCTTCACAGTGCTGCAAATAAGTGAATAAAAGGCTCATTTGGGATGTATTAACAAGAGGGAAGCTAACTGCAAGTGTGGGGAGGTGTATCCTAAATCTTTCAGATTCATCAGGTCTCTGAATAACAAGAATACTGTAGCTATAAAACCTCTGGTCCTAGTGAAATATTTTCTTCATCCAATAGAGTGATAAGTGAAGTCCTCAGATAAGAGAAGATGAAGATGAACCCACAATGTGGTGAATACCAAAAACATGAACAACTCTCAAGAACACTAGATTTATCAACAGAATTTTCTTTCCCCAATTTTTTTCTATTAGCTGTCAAGATCTAATAATGTTGCCTGATTACATCCTACTGTTAGAAACCTTGTTGATTAAGTGTTGACAATAAGTAGGCATTCTTCTACCCATCTTGAGATGAGGAAGAGTGCATCCTGGGCAAGGCCCAAGTTCCTCTTGGCCCTTGTAGTGAGACCAGCACTGAACTCTTTCAGGACTGAACACCCTTCTCTAGGTTGTCTCAGAAAAAGGGATTTTGAGAAAAGAGAAGCAAAGACATATCCCTGACACATACATATCCCTGACACATATTTTCAAAACTCATGTTTAATAATTTCCAGTGACACACTCTGTGAATTCACTTCTTTGTTTGCAAGATTATGTGCAAAGGTTAATTCAGAAGTAGTTTTCCTCCAAAAAAGCCTTTCATGTCTCTCCCCTGATTCTGATTGCTGCATAAGTGAGTGCCAGATGAGGCAGCTGTAGATAGGATAAAAATCAATAGTTACCCCCTTCTGAGTCATCAGTAACTGATTCTCTTCTTTGTGATTAACTGACAGTTTCCATGACTTCACACAGTGGCAGATCCGAAATGCCCCCCACTGTCATTCTATCTTCTTATTACCAGAGGACTACAGTTTTTAAAACCTACTTTTGTCTCCATCCATTCGAAGACAATCTATGTACAAATCATAAAAAAGACAATGTCACAATAACAAAGAATATTTTTGCAGAGAATCCCTCTTCTAGGAGCTCTTACCTTGAAAACAGTGGTGTAGACCCTCTTACATCAGCTTGACACTGATGTGATTCCAGCAATAACGTCACTTTTGAGTTTCACTTTCATGAAGAAAGTGAAATCAGGCCTATCTATTGCAACAAATAAAATCTACATATAGACATGGCATTTTTTCTTGGGAGAAGAACCTTCTTTTTAAAACTTGAGAGTGTTTTCAATGATGTTGACATCCCTTCTGCCATCCTGAATTCCATATTTGTGCATCGCTGGAGATGCTTCTGGAAGTTTCCACTAAGCAGGATGTAGAAAAAAGGATTAACGCTGCTGCTGGCATAGCTGAGGCACATGGAGATGTAGTAGCTCATATAGAAGGTCAGGGTCGGCTAAGAAACCTGAAGATTCATGAGCTGGATCACATGGAAGGGGGTAGTGCTTACCACAGACGCACTGATCAGAGCAAGCACCATCTTAGTGAGCCTCATAACTCTCTGCCTGGGGATACTGGTGGTGTAACTGCAAAACAAAGAAGAATTCTTAGTCAAGGTCAGAAACTGATGGCATGGATTGAGTGTAGTAATGAATGGCAGTTATTTGAGACCAAGCAGTGCAAGCAAAGGTCATCTCTCGAGAGCTTAATTTTTTTTGCTGTTTATGCATTATTGTTTCTTCTGCTATGATCCTATGCCACACACAGGAGACCCTGAGAATTGTTTATGTGTATTTGATGAAATACTGACAAATGTTTTAATTAAAAATGCTTAATCTTTTTCGTGTGAGCTATATTGTTTTGATTCCCTTTTCATCTGACTGCATTTTTTTGCTGTCAACTAGAAGAGAAATATCCAATTAAAACGTGACTATTAGGAACTTACAGAAGACTTAGAGCAAAGAAGAAAACTATTCTCCTGCCTAAAGAATTAAAACCCACACTCAAACGGAAATCAACTTCCTTTCTGTAAAAAATTGGTATGAGCCAAAATCCAAAGTATGTTGTCCTAGATCTAAAACATCGTGGCCAGGAGCTGCTCTCACTGAAACTGGGAATGATGTTTCATCTGTTTCAAGCATCAATTTTCTTTTATTGCCTAGACTTTCTCAGACTATGAACAGCAGCTAGAGATTAATGTGGGGCTTGGAGTCCCCTTCCCACAGAAGGGGCAATACAACTTGGATGACCTGCAGCTCTCTGGGGCACTGCAGCTGATACCAGACGCGGCAGCCACATTCTCCCAGAGTTTCCTAAGCCCTGAACTGAGAGCTTGGAGCCATGATATAGGCAGGTTTCCTCCTGCAGCTAGAAGTGCAGGGTTGAGTTGTGCCTTTTTGTTGACCTGAATTGAGGACTCCAGGTGTAACTTTCTCCACAGTGTTTCCTTCTAAATGATTTATCTTGGCTCCTTCCCTTGAATCCTAGTCTGTTTCCTGGGAGCCTAATGCAGTGTCTGGAGGACTAAAAGTTACACGATGCAGTGCCTAAATATTGTTTTAGGACTGTTCCTTTTGCTCTGTTACATATAAAGCCTTTACAGTCTGAGCAGTATGAGAGAGGCATGAATAATACTTCACCTTCCTCCTTTCTTGTTTTGCTGATATATCTTCCATGTGTAATATAAAACTAAAATATAGCAAATAAATATATCAACGGTAAAGGAAAAAAGAAAGTTATGGTGAGATAAAGTGTATACCTGTAAAACAAAACACAAAAAGAATAAACAAAGCTGTTAGACAAAGACCATCAAATAAAAATTTATAAACAATATTTTCCATAAAGTCGTGATTCTTGATTAGAGATACGTGGTAACAGCAAGTACCTAAAACTGCAAGTACCTCTAAGGATTAAAGTCTTCACTTCTAGGAATATGGTTGACTACAAGATTATACCTCTCAGTTTTCCAAATTCTGTATGTGTGTGCTTTTTCCAGCACTTGTATAATTAGTGAAAATTCTTGCAAGCATTTATTCAGGGCACAGTCTGATTAGCCCCTTAATATTTTTCTAGTCTGACAGTAGATCAGTGATGACCACCTTCTGAGCAGAGCTTTTTCAAACATTTTTGAATCTGGCATTCTGGGACCAGTCATAGTCCTGGCCAAAAGGTACTGGGTGCAGAGAGTATGTGACAGAGGCTGAGGATTTCAATTGTCCTGGATCTTGGTATTGCTTTGTGGCTGTCAAAGTCACTGTGCTCTGTAAAGTGGTTTGAAGGGAGCTGCAGCACTGCCCTGTGATGGCTTTGAGTTGATATAATCACACGAGGCAACCAGGAACAATCACCAGCCACCTCACTTTGGTGCTGCACAGGCCAGCTGCCAAGACTTAAAATGCAAATATCTGACACAAATCAGAAGATCCTTGTCTGTAGGTGCTGGCAACATGCTGCCTGCAAGACCTCGGGTTGTTGCTCAAGGTCCTGTGCTTGCTTTTCATAGATAGATTCACCAGTCTACCAGAACAGGGTGCTTGCAGCACCTTAGTTGCTTGTTACCATTGCCCTTAAAACAATGAAGATTAGGAGCCATTGCATAAGATGAAGAAAGATTGGTATTTCAGTCTTGCCTGAGTATGAGTATGAAATAGATTTTTTCCCCCATTATTCAAGCTTTGTAACAATCAAGTTCTTTCACTAAATGAGGTTAAAGTAATGGTCATCATTTCTAGAATCAGCAAAAGGCTGCTCGGGCCTATGGTATTTTAAAAAGCTATGTCTGATTTCATGCAGTTATTCTCAGTCCTCGTGATGGTGACAAGAAATAACAGAAATCCTCTACATTTGTCATGGCAGAACTACTTTGTACCATTCTTGGTACAGCTAGCTCTCTTGTTTCACTGGCTGTTTTACGGAAATAGCTTCTGACACTGATACTGCTTACAGGATCTGTGTAATTGAGAGTAATTTACAGGCTTCTCAGGTTCTTAAAATTTGTGATTGCTCCTCTTTTACACAATATTTGACCTCTTAGTCTCCATGTAAGCACAGTGTAAGCTAGCTTTCAGCTTGCTTTCATTTTTTAAGTGATGCAAGTAATAACATCTCTATGTAAAGTAACAGAACAATACTACAACTATTTTTCAAATTGTTAACAGAGCTGTTTCTGAGGAATGAATGCTTAAGAAAGTTACAAGGAGGTTACAAAAAAAAAAAAAAAATCAGGAAATAAACTGAGAGTCAAAGGAAGTATTTGTGAGAAAATGAAGGTGTGTAAGATGGAAATAGGATGCATGGGGAAGGCACAGAAAAGCGACATTAGTCTCTGACATAGAGTAAGAAGTGTCCCAAGTCAGCCCCCACTCTTCCCACTGGTTGCAAGGAAGGAGTCAGGATATTCCATCCTGTGCTGTGCACTCTCTACACCCTGGGAATCACTTCTCAGTCATGCCTATTGCCTGTCATTAATGAGAGACTGAACTTTAGCTGGTGCCTACAGCTGGGTGATACAAAAACTCATTACTGCTTTCATATGCTTCCCTTAACAGGAAGATTTCATTGAGATCTCCATTTTGTTTCAACTTGTTCAGGCTCAGAATATATATACACACATATATATATCTATAAATATACCTGTGTATACTATGCCCACAAATGTTTTCAAGACAGGCTCACATGCAAACAGATTTACTAGCAGAGTCTGTAGCTGATGTCATATATTTACTTTAGGGGAAAAATATAAACTAAAGGAGAGAGTGGAAGAGAAACAATAGGGGTTGCTCCAGGCAAGGATCCTTCTCTGTGTCTCTGCTAGAGTGCAGTACATGGTTTTCCCTGTAATGCTTTTTCCGCAGTATCAACACAGTTTTTGTCAGGACTCGCTTCTTACCAGTTGCTCCTGTCAACGAGGCTGTTGGTGTTGCTGAGAGTGTGTTTTGCTGAGGCTGCACGCTGACCTGCTAAATTTTGGGCATGCATGTTTTTGGGTCCACTAATGTCAACCAGAAGCTTCGATCACAGAGTAGGAAGAGGGAGGGGAAGCAGGGGTGATTCTCACGCTGGTGGCAGTCACTTCCCATGAGAACCCCCTGTAACAGTGCTGTGGGGTTTGCAGGTGCAGGGCCGAGAGGATAATAGTGCAAGATCCGCAGCGTGGGAACAAGGGAAAAGTGCTGCCCTAGAGGCTCTGGGAAAGGCTGCCACGGTGGCTTGGGTGACCAGAGCTGCTAGCAGAAAGCTGGCTACCCAGTTTCAGAGAGAGGGCTGTGAGGTTCTTAAGGCACCATGTGACGTGTGGCTTAGCAGATGATATTGCCTTTGCTCAAAGGACCAGAGCCCAGTGCAGCCCGAAACTTAGCAACAGTGAATGTAACTCTTTTCAGAGGCAGCTGCAGTCTAGAAGTTATCAGACTAATGCAGTTTGTGATGAAATAAAGTGTGTAAATGAGCACAGAAGATCATTAAGGGAAGCAACAGAACATGCAAAGGAACCCTCTAGTCTGGGATGGGTGCTGAATCCACATCTTCCTGCTCCAGAAATGCCCATCGTTACCTATCTGTTGGGTGGTCCTGGCTTTTGCTGTGTGGACATTGTTTTCCTGGATACAGTGCTGAATTTTCAAAGGATTGTCACAAAAGTAAAGGGCAGGTTAAAACTATGTCTTCAAATCTGGTCTGCATAAATGTGTATTTCCCTAAGTATTGTGAGATGACTTTTCACACTTTCTGGATCAACCATTTTCATATACTGATATGTGTCTATAAAGGAGAATTTACCTGGGTTTCTAATTCTCACTTTTAATATTCCTCTGACCAAAGGAAAACATGATTTAATGAACTTAAAGATGAAAAGGAAATAATTAGGATGAATGGAATGAAAACAACACCATAAATTCAATTCAATGTAAAAGTACATTATTCTTTTTCTTGATAGAACTAAAACTTTATGTTGTTCCAACTTACCCTTCCTCATACAACAAGAAATTAATCTCATCCTAAATGCTTATCAAGCAGCTTTTGTCTCCATTCTTTTGTAGCAGTGGGATTCTATTTGTTATTTCATTTTGGATGTAATTTTAATCTTTCCTGTTTTCTGATGATAAATTTTTGAAATGAAGGATGAGTACTCCATTTGGGAAAATGTGTTTTGAAAGTAAGGGCTAATTTCCCCTTCAAGCAGAGTGGAACTTAAAGGTAGATATGTCCTCATCTGAAAAAAAAGTTATCAGTAATAAAAGTCTTTTGTTGGGAAAACACTGAAGAATACTTATCTGAGACAAACAACAAGGGGATTGTCTGAGAAGTGTCTCTGACACAGAAAATGGGAGAAGGAGGCAGCGATGGAACCTGCCAAGCTCTCAAAACTACAAGGCACTAGGTATGTGGTGCTTGTTAGCCATGCCTATTACTGCATTCTTTTTGGCCTTTCTGCCAAACCTCCTGTTACAATGCTGCCTGGAGGAACATCTATGAGACCAGCCACCACCAAAGTACATAATCGTGAAAGCCAAGACAACATTTGGAAAGAGGAAATATTTCACAAGAGCACGTGATCCTAGTTAACATTTTAGCTAATTACAAATCATCTTGTCTGATTTGTAGCAAAGCCATAAACATGTGGTCATATTTCTGTTATGCATATAGGAAATGGAGAGGGAAAATATGTCTTAGAGATTAGATTTTTTCCTCACTTTTTTCTTCCTGCCTCTGGATGTATCTTAACCTATTCCAGGGCCTAACATTATTACTAGGTATTGCGTATTGTCACAATATCTTATACTGACACTATTATTATTATCATCACAAATTTGCAGAAATATTCTTATTATTTTAAACGTTAATATGTTGTCTGAATTGGCTTAAAATGTACTGCTGCTAGGCTTGCCCAAGAGACAGCAGGGTGTATTACACTCAAAGGCAAATGGGCTGCTCAGGAGTTTGAACTTTTAAAAGGCTTTTACCTTTTCCTCTGGCTGAGGTATGTGTAACTGCATGTGAAGTGAAGCAAGGAGTGACTGAAAATGGCATGTGAAGAATGAGTAAATGGATTAGTCCATGCCAAATCAAGTGGTTCTGGTTCTAAATGACTGAAAGCCCATGACTTTTATAGAGTTACAGCTCCATCCTACCGGTGATACTGCCTTGGTAAATATTTCTTAGAGCAATATTGCAGCAATGGGCAAACCAGTAACACATTTTCTCATGCTTGTCAGTCTCGGCTGCTCCAAATGCTTAGAACACCTGTCTGTTTCTTTTCAGCTGTCACAGAGGTACTTACTCCAGATTTATCTTCCCAGCCTCACTTCTTCATTAACGTGTCTGCAGCTGTAAGGGTATGGGCTAAATAAATGTTTATGCAACTCTCAAAATTTATTGGTACCTATGTAACTCTTAGATTTCAGGAACTTGTTCAGGAAACTTTTCCACTGCACAGAGATGCTTTGCAAAAAGGATATTCTCAAAAAGCAATTGTTTATTATCTATTTCAGTAGACAGCAGACACTTAGAGCTACCAAGCTCCTAGGATAAGTGTTAGTGCTCTTACCACCCCTGTATGACACCCTTGGTTCTTTGCTGGGCAGATGTCAATGGGAATGAAGGGGCAATTTAAGACTCCCTCATTTTTGTTAATATTTATACCTCTTTGTGCCAGTGTTTCTCTTCTTGAACCTGTGAGGGGCTGTCTCCACCTCAACAATCTTGTCTTGGGCTTCAGTCAATCTCAGCTTAGCACACATGGGTCTGCTCTAGGTTTTTCTGCACAGCTTAGGGTTTAGCAACTCTCTCAGGATTCTAAAGTTATATAGCTGTGCCATACCAAAAGTACACTTTAAATTACAGGCAACTGAACACCTTTTCCTATAACCAAAGTTTGTAGTAAAATTAGTCAGAAGCAGCTGAACTCTGTAAGAAGGGACCCAAATGGTGGTATTTTCCTGTGACATGCTCCAGTGGATTCATGCCACAGGGAATGAGATGTGCCTCGCAGCCTCCTGTCATAGAAAGTCCAGCGTAAGCTTTACCAGTTGCATCTTGTGTGCCATGAAGGAACAAGGAATGCTATGGCTTCTGAATCTACATCAGTAATTTTGAACTTGTTAGTCTTGGCTCTTTTTAAAAAATTTTATTGGCCAAAGAATTCCTTTGCCATTTTAAAGTCACTAACATTGCTGATTGCAGTGTTCATCTTCAATTAAATTCAAATGGTATATTGGAATATGCAAAGTGAAGACTTTAGAGTAGAACATCATACTGGATCTTTTCATTCATCTTATCATTCCTCCTGTTTCACCAGAGACAGCAACATAAGAGTATGTCAATATTTGAGCTTGAGGAGATGATGTCTGCAGCACACATAGTTCGGATTTCACCCAGGCCAGATTTGCATAGTGGTATTTTTGTTGAACAGTCAGATTTACTCTTCATGTCCATGGGTGTAATTTATATTAGGACTGTTGTCTATGCGTGACTACGTGAATCCTTGTCCAGAGAACAGATGCTGTGAGTTGCTTCTTACAAAATTTTCTTTTAACCCATAAGCAAAGTTGTGCTACCAAAGTTTCATCCAGGTTTAATTTATGTTATGTCGGTTTGTGGCATAAATATAAATCTGTATTAAAAAAATGTGTTTGATGTCAATTTAGGAAACTTTCTCATAAATTTTAATATGCATACTCGACTTGCATAATTTTTACAGCTTTCCTTAATGCTTTTTATTTCATATTAAAGTGAGTAATGGAAAGCAAACTTTTATACATTGTATCCCTCAGAAATTGACCCCTAAAGCTCCATTGAGAGAACAGCTGGTTTTGCCACTTCTTAAAACCTTATAAAGACATTTTATTTGCAAAAAGAAATGTTGAAATACTAAAATCTCTGTTGGACCATTGCATGACATAGTTCACTCCTATTATAAAGAAGAGGATTTATGGGAATAAAACCATTATCCAGCAATGTGACTGATATTAATTTGCATATGGTACTCATTTTATTCAGCTCAGGCTTCTTCTGGAACCTGCCTTCTCAGATCTGACCTGCTCTTGTCTTCCATTTTAAGTTTTTTTATTTTTGAGAAATATGAAACAGCACATGAAGATGTTCAATGCTGCATTAGTCATAGTTACATTAGTCAACATTTACTAATATAAATTATGCAAATTATGCACCTTTTATTGTGAATGTAGGATGATTTTGCAGTCAAACAAAGTCTGATAAATTGCTGATTTTTTGGCAAAACTGCTAGTTTAATATTTTCGCTTAATAAAAGCTCCTAGGTGGATTCAGAAGTGCTTTACTGAAACTGTCAAGGACTAAACAGTTTGGGAGGTTGTTATTTGAAAAATCTTTGTTTCTCTTGGCTATAGTGTCATAATTGTTATTAGGAGTGATAAAACTAAGGGGAGAGAAATAATTTTAACAGCTTTCCCTAGGCAAATGTATATAAGATGGAAAAATTTGCCTCAAAACAAAAAAGAAAGCACAAGCTTTCTTTCTGGAAAAACCACAAATTTGTTTTAAGACATGGCTTTACTTGGGACATAAATTATTTTTCATACCAGATTTTGATATTCTGTCTTTTCTCATTAGGACCTCACGTCTTATTCCTGCCTTAATACTTTTATCTTTTGCATAATTTTTTTCTCTAAACAACAAGATTAAAGATACTGCTATATGTAAATTCTTTAGAAATATGTGAAAAGACTGTCATTTGTCACATTACTCATACAAAATACAAGAAAATATAAGAACAAAGCTTTTAAAACTGAACTGCAAAGGAACTGAAAATTTCTTGAGTCTTTTTAAACTGTATGTAAGCCAAATTAGATTTCTAATATGCATCAGTGTAGCCACTTTATGATAACCATACTTTTTCCCTTTCAAAATTATGGATAACTTTAAATTTTCTACTTCTTTCTGTTTTCTGGCAATTTTTCTCTCCCTCTCTTTACCAACTATGTTTCACTACCATGGAAGCATGCTGTCTTTTATGCTACAAATTCAATAGTAGCTGTCCTTCCGATTGACACTGTTTGTTTACCCCCATGTCTTCTTATTGATTGATCAGTGCATCATGCTATGCAAGAAAGTTTGTCTTTCTGTTTTCCTTTATGCTCACTCTGACATATGGAAGGAGATAACTTTGGTCCAATGTAGACTTTTCTTTCCTGAATTTGGTTAGTTTTTTCCCTAAGATCAATAATGCAGAAACTGTTTTTGAACTTTCTAATTAATAATAACAACAAGAAAAAAATTCTTGTTGTGCTCCTGTGGCATTTTAATGAAGGTTTTAAAAAATAACAAATAAAAAAGATTTCTTCAGTCTGCCTGAAAGCCAATTTTTTAATCTTAAACAAGGATGGTGAAAACAAGTTTTTTTAGTGACATTAAACCCTTACTAGAAGCTGCACCTCTGAAGATGAGCCCCAGAAGAGTAAAACTGGATTAGGGTCTCTTAAGGCCTTTTACAAAGAATGATGTTGTATTGAAACTTACAATATGTCTGCCAACCCCACAAACATCAGAAATAATTTGTACAGTTTTCAAAAACTCATTAACCATGCCTGATGGCATTCTCATTCTTGAATTACAACAGCTTTGCATAAACACAATCAGGTATTATTGTCCACAGAATGAAAAAGGGAAACTAGGTACCTGCCCAAACTCATTGCAATCATAATGGCACTGCATGTAAACTGGTTGCATGTGTCCAGGGAGGTAGTGATGGCGCAAAGAGGGCTACCAAAAACCCACTCGCCTCCACATACCCACTGGTGTATGAGAAAGGGCATGCCAATGATATGAACCAAATGTACTATAGCCAGATTGCAGATGTAGATATTTAGGATAGTTTTTTTCTGGGTTCTGTAATAAATTGGAAGACATGAAGATGATTACTTGGCATAGTAACTGTACTGTTTTTCAACTATACTATCAATAGAACAGACCTCAAAACTGAACTTTAGACAAACAAAAACACTGTCAGAACCACTGCTTTAGTGTCAGGGAAGTTTATCAACCCAAAGATATCCCAAACTAAACATTTTAAGCTCAACAAAAATATATTGTTCATAATTTTGCTTTCCAGTGAAGCTGAATAGGCTACTTAATTTATTGACATCAGCAAAATTATCCATGTTCGCCTTTGAAAACTGTAAAGTGTTCAAAATAAACACAGGTGTGGTGGGCATTTGAACTCTAGAAATACCAGCCTAGCATAAATAGAAGATATCGGAGCCTTCCTGTAATGCACTTAACCAGAGCTAAATCCTGCTTAAAAATGCAGACATTCTTGACTGCTCAATGTAAAAAAAGAATCTGTACTTTCATGAAGGTTTTTGTATAGTTGCCTGTGGTGTCTCAGAGCCACAATATTTAAATGGTAACTTATGCAGTAAACTTTAAAATTCACGAAAAAAAATTGCCACCTTTTATTATGTAAAACTTTCTTGCTTTTATTAAGACAGTGGTGCTTGTCTTCTGCTAAAACGATCACTTTAGAAAAACAAAAAAATCAAATAAGAATAACCCCCAGGCAACCCACACCTTCACGCCCTCTCTCCCCTTCTGAAAATAATAGTTAGAGCCTCAATTTGAAACTTCTTTCTCTTTGTCCTTTCAGGTTTTTTCTACCCTCTCGCCACAGACTTCAATGTTCTCAGTAGTTTCTCATCCTTCCACTCACGCCAGGTTAATTTTCATCTCTGAAACACCCTATGAAAAATGCACAAAAGCACAACTGCTGTTCTGTAAAATCTGAGAATATGTCAAATCTGTCCTACCTCCTCTTCAACTCTACTTCTACAGATTAAATGCATTAAAAATGGATCTGAATGTTCCCAATCCATAATAAAAAGAAGTATTGAGCACACATGACAATATAATAATCCATATACTGACTGTCTCTTCAGTAACAAATTCAAGAAACATGACAGGTGCATAGTGTGTTGCCATCAGTCGGTATTTATTCCCTCTGACTGCATTATGTGCCGTCATCAGAATTTATATAGACCCTCCTGGACAGAAAGGTCTTCATTAACTTGAAGCTTAAGTATTAATTTGGAATCGATCTTTCAGGTCAAAGACAAAATAATTTGTATGTATCACACATTTAAATTCATAAATATATACCCTTTCTTCCCATGAGACAGGTGAAAATGGAATCCCTGCAGCAGCAATAGTCATCCTCCCACCTAGGCCCATCTTCCCCTACAAAATCTAACTGTCAGCAAACCAGCTTAACTAGGAGAAAGTGATTGTAAATTTCCAGCTCTGATGTTAATCGCAGTCCCCTTTCCTTCTGCATGTAAACAAATTTAGGTAAATTTGGATAGTTCTCCCTTTTTCTGGTTCTGTTAGGTTATTTTCTGTTTGTTCTTTTTTTTTTTTTCCTGTTCTGTTCTTATTGCAGTCTTAATATCTTATTTTTCCTGGAAACAGCTGGTGAGAATTGTATTTCAGACCTTGTTATGAGCCTGGAAAATAGCATTAGCATTTTCCTCTTTCCCCTAGAAACGTAAAGCCTTAAATGTATTACAGCCGTGTGTGCTTCTCACACAGCTTTAGCCTAATAACAGCCCATAGCAATCTCAGGAGCTTTACTTCTGTTGTTTTCTGGCAAGAGTGCTTCCTATTTAAAAAAGAATATTGGTATGACAAAGATTCTATGGGTGTAAAAACATTTCTATTGCTCTAGCCTCTCCTCTATTCTTTATCTGGTTCTTTCTGTTTGATAATCTTACACTACTCACATCAGATACATCTCCCTAGTGAATGTCACTAGGAATACTATTGAACCACTCCTACACTTTGCCTCAGGTCTCTGAGGGAAAATATGGTATCTGCCTAGCCCCACAACCAGTCCCTGAAAATTCCATATTAACTGATTTTCTCCTGAAAATTTTTTCATGAAACTTGGTTATCTTATCAAGATTTCCTAGTACCCTCCATACTTGAGCTATTTTTTCTCGTGTTGTAGTTCTACTCATGAAATTGTTCTTTAGCTGACTTAATAGTTCTAACACGATAAAATAAAAAATCTTCTAAAACAAAATCTAGCTCTATGTAGAGGTTTCAAAAATTTTATGCCAGTGACTCTACATTTGGTTTCAAATACACCTTCTCCAGCTGAAGAATGCAATAAGTGCCTTGACTCTTATTTGCAATCTCTGCATTTTAGGAAACACTATTTTACCACTTGCTATTATATTATCTTATTCAAAATCAAGTTAATCTGAAAAGGAGTACTTTCAGATAATTGAAATTGTGTTTGATTCCCTTTACTCTTCTGTTCCATACTTTTTCTTAAAGATATGAAGTCAGACTAATGGGTGGTCTGGATTATATTTTCCTCCTCCATACAAAGCCATAGTTGTTCTCTCAGCAGCCACTCCACCAAAGTCAGTGGGTTTACATAAAAATCTTGCTAACAGAACTGCAGGTCTAAGGACCAGCTTTTCTAGATTGTTGGGATGAAGATTATTTTGTCTTTTGGGCTAACACAGAACCCTTGCAGCATTTTTTTCATCATTTTCTTTTTACTTAATGGTAGCATATCTCAATTCCCTGTATTATTCCCTAGGGATGAAAGTAATTTACATGAGGAGGGCCAGCCAAAAGCCACTGAGTTAGTAATTTTTAAATTAAATCTCACTGCATAGGCATATATTACATGCAAGGTTCACTAGGATTTTCAGCTATTTCCTCCCAGTAAATTGCAGATTATATAATTTTAATTTACACTTAAAAATGTCTGTCCCTAGCTGGCAGACTTGCAAATGAAATTGGGAGGTGAAATTCCAAGGTCTTTTCTTTATCTTTTTCTACGGTCAGTAAAGCATTTGCTACCAGAAAGTAAATAACTTTCTTCTTTATTAGAGAAATAATTCAGCTTCATTTTCTCTTAAAAGAATTGTCTCTGTAATGTTAACAAAAGTAAAATGTTGGCATGAAAAAATGCGTTCAATAAAGAGAGAAGAAAGACATCTTTGAAGCAGAGCCACTGAATACAATCAGGTCTGTTTAGTGGAAGATGAGAAGATTATTGACACTATTATGTTTCAAAATGTAGCTAAAATTTAAAAGTACCTTCATCTACAGCATCTGAGGCTTGTGTCTTTTGTGGTGTTGGTAAATACCACATTAACTTTTTAACACGCTATTTCCAAATTCTTTTTCTGAATATAAATGTTCATGCCCATAAATTAGAATGCTTGTAATTTTCTCAAGCAAATATGGTTTAAATTATATTCCTTTTATTTCAAGTCATTGTCTGTGTCTTTTCCCTCTGCCTCTCATATTTTTATTTAAGTTAGACAAAGGCTTTTCACCAAGGGAAAATAATAATTTTTGTTCCTTGTTATTTTCCTTCTATTCTATTATTTTAGAGACACTACAGCTAATTTTTTCCCCCTTTCTATTCATTCATACATTTCAAAAGTCATATTGCCATTATGTTCACTTCAGACATACTGTTTTCACATTCTGCATTCAAATTATGAACTACAGTGTTCTTGAGTGCACCAGGCACTGAATTTCTGTTAGTTTCAAGGGAGGTATACTAAAGCCCAGAGGCTGACAGACACTTAGCCCTCCATTGGCCTTTGCAAACCTTTCCTGTGAAAGCACGGTATGTTGAGGTGGAGTCCATCTATTAGTCCTTGCAGAGTGTGATGACTGTTAGCCTTATGTGCAATATTTCTTCATGTTAAATTTGCACCACAGATAAAAGTCACTTTTTCAAGATACATCCTTACGGATTTAGAGTTTGTGGTAGTATCAGCCTGTTGAGAGTAAATGTGGTTTGTGTCACTTTTTCTCCTTCTGTTAAAATTAAGATATTATAAGGTATTTTTTTTCCCATAAAGGATGGTTGGGTCAGATTTTATGAATCCTCAAAAATAAACAAGTTCAGCAATTTTACTTTCTCAGCATACAACAAAAATATCTTGAGGTATTAATTCCTGCCATGTGAGAAACCTCAACTAGCACTAAGGTCCATTTCCAGAAGTAAGGTGATGCTGGAAAACAGCAATGAGTTCTAGGAAGTTGCCGTGAATCGGCAGAAGTTAGATAAAGCTCTGTTAGTAAAATAGTCTGGGGCAGAAGTGCAGTTTTCAAAGGAGTCTATATTTCAACTGATCTTAAAAGAATTCTGTAGAACATTATAATCCCTTGTTATTACCATAACTAAAGTTTAAAGTTTATTCTAACTTTTACATGTGCTAGAGGGAAGATTTCTGCCAATTCTAATGGAAACCCAGGAAGAAGGCATGTATTTCAGTTTCCTTGAATATGTTTGAAGTCAGTCACACACTTCAGTCCTTTCTTATAGCCGAAAGGGGTAAGCAGGCATAAATTACTGCTATCTATAGTCATGACTTAACTTTTTTTTTTAATAAGAAGTAAATGTCAATGAATAAAAGGAACATGAAAAACTTGCTAGCCTTGTCTTTGATGGACAATCCACTTCCTTAGTGCAGTCATCATTAGTGCAATAAGTCTTATGGGAAAATGTATTCCATTCCATACTTTATTATTGTGAACACAATGAGGATATTTCCAACTAAGCCTGTTGAAGAGATAATCCCAATCAGAGAAGGAAGGATGATTGTCTCTGCAGCGCTGACCACCTTGTGCCATCCACTCCAAGATCTCTCAATCAAGCCTCGTGTACCATTCTGACAGAAAGGCTGAAATTCACTCGTTTTTCAGTGATTTTAGCATTTAGTTCTGTAGTAGCAAGAGAAAATTATTGATGGATAATAATTTGGATCTCAGTAGTTAAGTCTCACATCTCAGTGTATACTACTGTTTAATGGTTATCTGAATTTTGTAAAAATTTTCACAGAAAGATTTTGTACATTCAAGATTGTACATGAAAGAATTGGATGATGTTACTTTCAAAATGAAATATGTTATGTAATAACTCCATTAGAATTTAAACAAACATGTAATCATCCAAGATACACCTTTTAGTAACAGGGTGTTTACTCTCGGAAAGTGCTCTGGCAACTTCTCTTGGCTGAGGTGATCCAAATCAATTTTCCAATCAAACCCTCTAATCAAATCCTTCTTCAGTTTAAGAGCATTCTTCCTTGTCCTATCTCTACACATCCTTGTGAAAAGTCCCTCTCCAGCCTCCTTGTAAGCCTCCTTTAAGAGGAAGGCTGCTATAAGGTCTCCCCAGGGCATTCTCTTGTCCAGGATGAGCAACCCCAACTCTCTCAGCCTGTTTCTGTAGGAGAGGTGCTTCAGCCCTCTAATCAACTTTGTGACCCTCCTCCTGTCGGTCTTGTTCCAACAGATCAACATCTTTCTAGTGTTTGGAGCCCCAGAGCTGGATGCAGTACTGCAGGTGGAGTCTCAGAAGAGCAGAGGAGAGGGGCAGAATCATCTCCCTTGACCTCTTGGCCATGCGTCCTTTCACGCAGCCCAGGACACAGTTGGCCTTCTGGGCTGTGAGTGCACAGATTGCTGGGTCGTGTCGAGCTTTTTGTCCACAAACACCTCCAAGTCCTTCTCCCCAGGGCAGCTTTCAATCACTTCTCTGCCCAGCCTGTACTTGTGCTTGGGATTGCCTAGACCTAAGTGCAGGACCTTGTACTTGGCCTTGTTGAACCTCCTGAGGTTCATTGCTAAACCCTAACTTTACAAAGGCCAAGAACTATCTTTCCCTTTTTGTTGATGTGGCAATAAAGGTGGAAAAGTGTGAAGTGGTTATTTGTCTAAGGTTGTTGAAACAATGTAAAGATTTCACTGTTAAAGCTCCTTAAAAAATCTGCCTACAAGTTACTTAAAATAGGTGTGCTCTGAGCACTGTCTAACTCAGTCATCTTCCACACAAACAAAACTGTTTTCTTGTATCATAAATCAGTTTGAATAGAACTCTGGTGATGCTGGGATGCTTTGCTAGCAAGAATGTCCTGACTATGTTTCTGTGTTTCCCTTGGAAAATTTGCAGCTTGTTTGCTGTGAGCAGCATGCCCTGTGTAACTCCTTGGGTTATTGTTTAAGCAGTCAAAATGAATAGCAGCTGTGGAATGGGTCAATTTAATTTGCTGATATGAGTATGAGAGAAATAGCAGTTTACCTGTGTATCAACTGCACCCTTCTTGAAAGTGATGAAATTTTGTTTCTTATTTCTAGGAAGAAAAATAATAATAAAAAATAAAATTAAAATAAATAAATAAAATGTATAAGATTGTTCATAAACAGATTTATTAAGAATTGGGTGAAGGTAGCTCTGTTCAAAAGAAGAGAAGAGGAAAAGGAAAGTAATTAAGCAGAGGTTTACCTAATTGGCCAAAGAACTGAAGAAGAAATTTGAACTGCAGAATACCTGCCTCAGTTCTGTAAATGGTCACTAACACAGACCCTTTCACCATCAAGCAACAAGGTCATCTGCACCGTGACGACAAGATGCTGGAAAGGTGAGTAAGGTAAATGTAACTGCTGAAGTCATCCACTTATATCCATTGAGCCTGAAGGCCTTGATGCAGCACATATATCTCTAACAGTTGACATGACTTTTTATAAGGTGGAATATTGGATATTTCCCATTGTCCCACTGTCCCACTTGGACATAGTGCTAAATTTCACAACGACCAGTAACTGGACACCAAGTCCAGTAAATCTTTGGCTTGCTTAAGGTCTGTCCTAGTATTTTAACCCACTGGGATGTTATTACAGAACTGGGATAATTGCTGCTTATGCTTCTCGTATTCAGTTTGCATGGCAAGGCTTTTGTAGTGTGTAGGGGTGTTACAGGGGTGGTCTCTGTGGGAAGCGGACAGAAGCTTCTTACGTCTGACAGAGCTAATGCCAACCACCTCCAAGATGGACCTGCCACTGGCCAAGGTTGAGCCTGTCAGAAGCAGCGGTAGCACCTCTAGGATAACAGATTTAAGAAGGGGGAAAAGAGTTACTGTGCAATAGCAACTGCAGCCAAGAGGAGTGAATATATGTGAGAGAAACAGATCTGCAGACACCAAGGTCAGTGGAAAAAGAGGAAAAGGAGGTGCTACAAGCACCAGAGCAAAGATTTCCCTGCAGCCCATGGTGCAGACTATGGAGAGGCAGGCTGTGCCCCTGTGCAACCTGATGGACAAATCTTCAAGACCAGGTAGTAGCTAAGTGATATCACATTTACTTGTCAAGTATAATCTTCCTTTTTTTTTTCTTTCTGTGTGATGCACTGCCTACCCCCGGGAGAGGTATGAAACTTTCTGGCTATTCCTCCTTTGCTCACAACATTCTTTTTTTCCTTCCTTGACTTTCTGTGTAGTCTATGTCTACTTGGTTGTATTAGAGACAATGGCAGGTAATCTGGGTTTACACTTTTTGCAAATACTCATCTAAGAAAACAACTGTAGCTTTCAAAAACAACCGTAGCTTTCAAAAACAACCATTAAAATTTTCACATTCTTAATAAGACTTCCTATCCAAAATAATAACCTGAAATTAACAAACCATGGTCGTATGGACAAACATCTATCCTTTTGATAGATCCTTTTCTTTGGGAAGGTGGAGGGTGAGGTGAGGGTGGGTTAGTGACGGAATATAATGACAGAAACCTGGAAAATACTGAAAATTTTGCTCAATATATGACATTTTCATTAAGTCACTGAATTTTAATGACATCATAACAGAAGATTTGCTTGGAGATTTCTATGTAAGACCAATGCATATTCAATAATAGCAATGCTTTCATGGATTTTTTTTCTGTAAAAACCTTAACTACTCCTTAGCTGCTACTATAAAGCAGATATTTATTGAACCTGAGTTAAACTATTAATGGAAGACATTTTTCTTCACATGGTATGACTTGACTTCACATGAGTCTGATATTAAAATGCAAGAAAATTTTTAAACCTTATGTTAATGCTTGATGGTTAGGCTGTACAACAGCATTAAAAAAAAAATCCCATTTTTATTCCATTTTTTTCTCAGTTTCTGACACAAAGATATCTGTGTCTTCTTCAGTAAATGTGAGGCAATGAATGACCAGCAAAAATGATCATTCTGTCTCGTTCCAATGAGTAGAAAATATCAGAAAATTATAATTCTTTCAAAAAGTTGAATTACTGACTTAAAACATAGCTGTCATATCACAGAAATATTTCTTTAGTCTTTCTATTTGCTTCTTTCTATAGACACAATCCAAAGCACTTTGTCTAAAATAGTGACACAGCATCTTTCCAAGACAGGTTGGAGAGATACTGACTCTCACCGTTCCCCCAGGCAACTACCCTTCATCAGCATTAATTGAAGTCACACACATACCTTTCCACTAAAGGCAAACATCAATCCAAAAGTAGATTATTTTTCTTTTTATCGTTAAACCCCCTCAACCGACAACCAAACGAAAACAAATGAACAAAAAACAAAGCAGAAAAATAAAAATCCCTCACTGCTGATCACAGAGCACAAAAATTCAGAAAATTGCAGCATCCTCAGTCAACCTTCCCTCCTCCGGATGCACCTGCCGACCCTCCACGCCACTTGTCCCCGGGGCGCGGGAGCCTTCCCGCTCCCTCTGCATCCCGCCGTCTCGGTCCTTCTGCGTCCCGCCGTCCCTCTCCCTCTGCATCTCGCCGTCCCGCTCCCGCGGAGCCCCACCGCCTGTACACCGGCGGAGATCCCCCGCCGAGGTGTCCCGAAAGCTCCCCCCGCTACAGCGGAGGGGTAAGCGCTGCCCCTGGTCCCCTCTGTAAGAGCCCACCTGCAGCCATGCTCCGCTCCCATCTCCTACTGAAACTGGACTTACCGCTTTGGCGAGCAATCTTCGGCGGAACAGGAGGGAACAGCGAGGCACACCCAGCACACCTGCTGCTGTGCCCATCCCTAAACACACAAACATTAAATACAAAGACCCAGTGCGGTAGTTACCCTGGAGAAAACAAATAAACAACCCCCCAATATTTGTAAGGAGATTAAAAATCATAGAAAATTATGATATCTCTTTTACTGCCTACTCTGAGCTCCACAATGCTTACACCTTCACAGTTTGAAACCTCCCTGGTGTTTCAGGGAATCCTTCTTATGAAATATGAAAGAACAGAGGGAAATGGCAGTATCTGCACAACATCACAATAATTGTCAAAGAACCCTGGTAATTGCTGAACTGTATTTAAGCAGAGATGATTGAACACCTCTGGTTCAGGCTATTCAAATTATAACACCTGTTTCTGGTTCTGATATGCAAAGGTTATTGCCTAAATATTTTTTTTTAATTCCTCCTCTTATGTAAGTACAGGAATTCATAGGGGTTTTTTTAACAGTGGAGTTAGTCCATTTTTTGGTAGTAAATTTTCATAAATAAATACCATAATGGAAGACTTCTGAAGCCAAGAAAAAACAGCACTGTAGTGCTAACTGAAGACTATTGTCACAAAACTGAATTTTTGGCAAAAATATTTAAAATTTGATGGAAATCTATTTTTTTCTGAAACATTCCTGATTTATCTCCTCCTAAAGACACATCTCAGTTGACTAGATTCAGAACCAACATTGCCATTTTAGCTCCTGTAGTAAAAATATCCTATTCCAAAATGCTGAATTGTCTCTAAAAATGCGACACTCCCACCACACCCTCTCATAGAATTGCAACACACATAGTAGCATGAGGAACAGGAACTTTCAGTAGATTAGGTACATGAGAAAGGCTACGAGGAAAAAATAATCAATTTGTGAAAGAAGTTTTGCATCCAAAGGAAAGATAAAGCTTCAGTGGTATATTTCTCAGTGATATACCCCTTTCCAGCCCTCTGCTCTCAAAAAGGAAGTTTCTCAGCCTGCTGCCAGCTGCCTTCCCTTGCCTGTGGCTGAACCAGCCCACTTACCTTTACTGTCCCTGATATTCCTTCTAGAGACTTCTGCCTCCTCAAACGTGCCAATGTAAATGGAGTTTTCATTCCTCCTTTACCTGTTATTAGAAGAAGTTACATGAATGCCTGTTACTCCAACAGAATTAGCCAACAGAAGTAATTAAACACATAACACTTGCAGTTCTGTGAGAAAAGTGATCTCTGGCAGGAGGGAGGTGATGGGCAGTCAAAGTGGTAACTGCTCAAGGAGAAAGTATTGGGGTACTTCCTCCTGCATGTGCACTGAAGGGAAAAAATCAGTCCTCTGTGAAGAGAAGTCTGGATAAACTGGGCAAATGTAGTCAGTCAGCCAAAGACAAGGACTATATATAGTTCGCATTTAGGGAGTGTTGGTGTCTTTCTATCATTACCATTATCATCATCATCATCATCATCATTATCATCATTATCATTATCATTATCATTATCATTATCATTATCAACAACTTTGTTTTTGATTAATAAACTGTTCTTATCTCAACCTACAAATTTTTCTTTTGATCCTCCTCACCATTCCACGGGGGTGGGGGTGGAGGGAGGGAGTTCAGCAAGCAGCTGCATGGTGCTTAGTTGTCAGCTGGGCTTAAATCATGACATGGTAATACAATTAAAGTGAAAATCTGAACAGGGAATTAAACCAAAGTGGAAATAAGACTTCAATTTGTAGCTAAGAGCTTGGTGCTTAGTAGTCATTGGAACAACTCACTAGGTTGAAAGACAGGTTCTGCAACACTGAAACAATTCTTAAAGCAATTCAGGTATTATTCTACTGTATATGCTCTTGCTTAAATGGGTATTAATTGTAAATTGCATATTTTGCAAGATGACGGACAACTGCTCACAGTTTCTGCACTAGATTTCTAATCCATGAAAAAGCTTATGCAGTAGTTAGGAACTGTAGTATTTATAGCTTTGGATGAAGCTTTGTGTATGGATTCATGGGTTCTGATTTTGAAGATAGTGGCAGAATGGAAATCCTGGCATTTTTGATAATGTGTGATGCTGAGTACCTTAAAGCAAGTAAGATAGCAAAATATAGAAGTACCTACTGAGAGGTGAATTGAGGCCAGGCTACCAAACAATTTCTATCTTACTGAAAGCTATTACTGCTTTACTCTTTTCTCCAGACATAGTGTAGCTAGAGCAATTCTAAAAGATTTTTTCCTTTCAAAAGGAAACCTTAAATCTCTATCAAATTCCTCCAAGGTAAAATTAATATCTGTCAGTCTGTAAAGGTAGTAAATGCCCTATTCATCACTTACCACAATAAAGCTCAAAATATAGCAATTTATTTTTGGTTGTGAAAGAATTTTTTTTTTTTTTGTCTTAACCATTATGTGCCCATACATTACTTCATTTCTTTTTATTCTTAATCTGTAATAGAGAAAATTGCTGGTTGCTATTGATTCATAACATCTTTGACTCAAAAGTGGTGACATTTTGCAAGTTACCAAACCCTTCACTGATCTAAGCTGCACACAAAATGTTGTATCTGGTTTGGGACAAGCAGTGAAAGAAAAAGAATGGCTTTCAGATGGTTAGGGGGATGCTTAAATGGAACACAACATAAGAGATGGAAGTATTTTGAACTAACACTTAACCGGAGCAGAGACTGGTGCTCTAGACTCTGTGTACTCATTTTCTCTTTTACTTTCCTTTTGGTACAGTGAATTTTAGTTACTTTATGAGAAATGGAAGAGCATAAGAAGGAAATGGTAGTGTGCCCATGTGAGAGAGAGCACATTTATGGCAAACTCCCTTGGGCAACACAATTTATTCCAAGTCTACTAAATCCAGAAGAGTTATCCAGCATCTCTATGATCATGGAAGTAATTTCATGGTCATTATCTTTGCTTTCTAAGAAAGGCAATTAAGCGAGAAATTACCGCAGAGGTAGAGTGCAGGGAGAGGAACAGATGGCATTAGAGGTATGCTTCCTGGTGGGAGGATGCTGCTTCCCTGCCATGGGCGCTGGGATACTCATTCACTTGGAGAAGTAGATGATAAACCCTTCTCTTTGCATTTCTGACTTCTGCATTTTCAGGAGTTTGGCACAGAGCTTTCCTCATGTGGTGCATGTAAATAGTGTGCAATAGTGTTGGAGGGGGATTGTGTCTTTTTGTGAATAATTCATTTTTTCAGAATATATTAACTTGAGAAGTGGCTAAGAAAGAAGTAAATTAAAAAATAAAAAAAAAAGAGAGAAAACCCAGTTTCATTCAGAATTTTCCTGATGGTTGAAGTCCAGCTAAATATTTCTATTTCTCTAAGGTTATCTGTCAGAATAGTGCTTTAACAGATTCATATTAAATTGGGTTTCTTGTTATAAACCTTCTATTTCGAAGAAAAGTGGATAATCTAGGGTTTTGGTTCTAGCCTCTAGTTCTCACTAACTGATATTTTAGAAATCAATAACGAACATCATGTATAATTCACAGAAGTTTAGCTTGCCTTTTTTTTTTCTCTTAAAGTGCTGAAAGTACCAGATTTTACTTCTCTGAGGTAACCCTTCTTGACGAAGATTTCTTTATCAGATTGGAGAAGAGAGCTGAAATATCTACTTTTCCCTAACGAATGACATGCTTGACACCCTGTTTCTTTGCAGTCACATTTTTACACAGAAGGAGGCTCTGTTGTTTCAGAGGACATTCAGTACAAAGCTTCAAATGCCAATAGCCTACTTTCCCATTTCCCCACGAAAATGGACTGCTAAAGCAGTAATACAGCTCCAAATTGTTTCCATCTACTGTCCTGGCACAATTCTCTTGCCTCTGCCACGCAGCAGGATGCTTCACCAAAACAAGACTACACCAAATAACTACAAGAAGTTATTGCCACCAGGTGGTGCTACTAAACACAGTTTTCCACATCCTTTTAATTCCTGTGTGAGCGAAATAGTCTTGAGGAGATCTACCCAACAACGGCTTTAAGCTTGCTCAGTTTTATAAAGCAGCCCTCTTTGGAGAGGAGAGGGCAGGAGAGCATCCTCTGTGGCTGGGTACCTGAGAAGAATCAATGCCTGAGACAAATTGCCTGGTATGTCAGCATTTTTGAAAACAAAAATTGTAACTGCTACTCTCACAGACAAAGTAAATGATTTTTACAACTACTTCTATCAAGGCAAGACAATGTGCAGGGTCCAGGCACTACTCTCTCTCCAGACCTCACTCTCTTGGTCAGAGAGTGAGGGATAACAATGAGTTTGAATCCTGATTTTGGAAAAAAGGATAATAAAATAGAATATTTGTTAATAGTTTACCCTACTCAGATAGCAGTGTTCCAGGTAGATATGATTTAAACAAAGAAAAGAGTTGCCAACTCTAGAGAAAACACATATTGAACTTTTTTGACTCTGAATTCTTACGTGATTCCTTTAGATACTCCTGCTGTTCCAATGTGCCTGAGTTAAAAAGCAATATAATCTCAGTATTACATAATAAATCTCCCATTTACTGCCCAGGCTCTTTATATCTTCCAAATATCTAATTTGAAGGAGCTATCATTAGTTCTGAAGTGTGTGCCAGTACCCTATGTGAGGAGAAATATTTTTTGAAAACATAGTACAAAATGTTAATGAATTCTTCTGTTTTTTTTTAATTAATGATTTGATACTTCAAAATGTATTGGCTCATTTGTACATTTCTTGAGGTAAAGTTTTCACGGTAAGGCAACCGTTTAATGCTTGAGTCTATATTTTTCATATTACCATTGTCTAGGAGAAATGGTACATTATGTAAAAGAAACAGGTCTGTTTCTAGTGATCTTTTCTCAGGGGACCCCTGGTGGCCTAGCGGTTAGCATGCAGGACTCTCACTGCTGCGACCACGGGTTCGAATCCCAAGTCCCCCGGGCAGATGGTAGCTCGTTAGCCCTGTGAGGCCATCCATCTATGAGAAGGTCACTCTAAACAAACCTACGTCCTGAGGACCTCACTGCCATTGTCCAAGCTTGCTTGGCCCCGGCAGATGAACCTTAGGATTAAAGGGTGGGCTCAGTTCAGCGCAGGCTGTGTCTCACCTAAAAAATCCATTGCGCAGGCTGGAAAGGTAAAAGACCTTTCCCCAAATCTTCGTTTGCGAAGACTGGCCATTATTTATTATTATTATTATTTCTCAGAGAAAGGCTTCAGAGACATTAAGCGAGATGCTTTTATGCCATTCTTAATATTATGAGAGAAATATAAAAGGTCATTCAGATATTCATTATCCTGTTTGTTTGGCTTTTGTCCCTCAAGCTGACTTTTTTATATGATTTATGATCTTATAGCCAGCAAACTTGCAAGAATGTGCATGAAAAGTCATGATTTTAGATTTGATGAGGCTATTTTCCTTGCTGACATGGAGTCAAAGAAATATCATTGGCATTTATTTGCATACCTTCCTGCCCAGCAGCAGTCATATATAAACTAACTTCAGAGCCAAGCACTATAGGGCTGTGCCCAAGAAACATCTCTCCTTTGTCACTTCCTGGGTTTTTTTTGGAGTTGAAAGGTTTTCTACCTGGCAGTTTCATGGAAGTTCCTTCTCAAAAGTTCTTTATTTATTTTGCCTTTCTTCCTTTTAATGTTGATTTTTATTTAAATTTGCAGCATGCTACTACTTCATGTTAGGCAAATCAGAGCATGCCTGGAAAATAAAAACAGTCCATGGAAAACAAGTTGTAGTGTTTCAGACAACCCCTTAGAGTCACAACCCACTTTATTTAACCATCTGTCTGCCTATTCACGCAGCTTGGGCTTCAGGGCACAATATCTGTCTGGCCAAGTGGCTGTACGCTGTGAAAGTAAGTGGTCATCTTCAGGTGAGCAAACAGCAAATCCAAAATAACGTACAAGTATATTCTACCTGCTCACAAGCCTAATGAGACCCCATCTGCAGCTGTGATGGTGTTGTCCTACTGGTGAGAAGATTCAATGGACAGTGCCAGTGTCTGAGCAAAGTCTTTATGACCAAATTTACAATCTGCCCTCTTAGTTTTAACCTTTTGCAGCATCAGGACATCTGTGGAACAGGTTTCAGATTCTCAGCTCAGTCAACACTTGCCAATGG